TATATATATACTCAGAAATTCTCCAGTTCCTTAAAAACTATATGTCTCAGCATGCATCTGCAAGTCTTAGATATATTCAAATGTGTATGGTCATATGTATGTGGATGACTATAAATATAAATGCATGTCTTCATATCTTCGAATGTGTCACAAGGCAGTGCCACGGAACTTTGTTTCACTACATTTCAACACAAGCCCACGCCCAGTTCCTGTGTCCATATACACATATCTGAGTCTTAAGTGGAAGTGTCCTTGTGTCAACACATCTCTAGATGTCACTGAATGTGGCTTGATGCCCACATGCCTGCACCTCTCAACCTGTGTGTGCTGGATAGCTTCAGCTGTCAACTTGACAGACCTGAGTAGAAGGAACTTCAACTGAGGAATTTCCTCTGATGGATTAGACTGTGCCCATGTCTGTCAGGCATTTTCTTGATTGTTGAGTGATGTGGCAGGGCCCATCCCACTGTGGGCAGGGCCACCCCTGGGCACGTGGTCCTAGTTGTATAAGAAAGTAGGCTGAGTAGGGCCAAGGGAGCAAGCCAGTAAACAGAATTCTTCCATTGTCTGTGCTTTAGCTCCTGCCTCCAGGTTCCTGCCCTGAGTTCCTGCCTTGACTTCCCTCAAGGATGAACTGTGACTGGGACATGCTAGCTAAATAAATCCTTTTCTCCCCAAGTTGACTTTAGTCATGGTATTTTATCACAGCAATAGAAAAGTAACTAGGACACTGTCTGTGGTTCTTTGACCAGGCCAGTGGTTGTGGGCTATCTTATTATGTGTTGACCCATCTGGGCCAAAGATGACACATCATCTCCCTAATTCACTATGTGTCTACAAGGCTACCTAGGTGTTCATTAGATTATACTTCAGATGCATTGTCACACCTTGACTATGTTTACAGGTCCTGGTGCATGTCTACATATGTCAGTACATGTGTCTCATGTGTTGCTTGTGTTTCTAGGCTGCATACACGTCCTGAAATTTCTTGGCAGGTTTTGTTATGTTGCCGTGAACAAACTCACGTTTTTCCCATTCAAGCCAGGTTTGCCATCCTCTCCTGCCTTTCCCTGTGGGAACAGATCATTGGTCAGATGTCAGGGCTCAGCTGAAAGTAGGAAGATGCTAAAAACAGCGTGAAAGGCTGGACTCACTGGTACTCCAGGAGGCCCAGGAGGCCCAGGGGGGCCGTGTTCTCCTCGAAGACCTGGAAGCCCCTAGAAACAGAATCTTTGTTAGAATTGAGAAGGCCTCTGAGATATACCTTGAGACATTGCACCCATGCACTAGGATGGTCCCACAAAGATCACCCCCAGTGTAGAAATTGAGACATCCCATGGAGCTCCCCTGAGGCCCAGATCCCATGAGTTAGGGAGACTTCAGCTGTGATTCCTAATGCAAGAACCCCAGAAATCACAGGACCTATTAAAATATGTAAGGCAAAGGTCAGCAAGAGGATTCTAGCAAAACTTGTTGACCCCTCCCAAAGATCAGGCAGGACCAACTTCCCCTATTCTCCCTGATTCTATGATTATGATGACCTGGATGGGACTTTGCTGGACCACCAAGCCACCCTCTGCCCTGGTATCTCCCCTCACTTACGTCTCTCCCATGGTCCCCAGCTTTGCCTGTAGCACCCTGAGAAGAAATGCAAAGCAAGACAGATGGGATGAGGGTCTCTGCCCACTAGCAGGGCACTAGTTCCTATGAACCCAAAGCTTTAGTGGTATGCCCCACTGAGGCAAGGTTCTGGAAAGAGACACAGAAAATGAATCTGGTCCCAGAGCTCAAGGCCAAGACCAACCAGATGAACTGAAGGGGCAGGAAGGGGCTAACCAGAAGTGATTACTGTTACTCACATGTATCCCTGGGGGGCCTGGGACTCCTGGTTTCCCATCCAGCCCACTCCGACCATCTAGCCCTGGGGGCCCCCGGTCACCCTGAAGAAAACGAAGTAAGAAGCCTTGAGAACTGGCATGGATCTGAGAGCAGGAACACCCCCACCCCCAAACTGGTTGTATCACTCACCTTTTCCCCTGCAGGACCTCGGACACCCGGGTCTCCCTGGAGGGAACAAGATCAGATAAAAGTGGTGGCAAGATGGTAATACAAGCTAAGGGAGCAAAGCAGAGTACTCACCTGGGGGCCCGGGGGTCCCCGAAGCCCATCAATGCCCTGAGGACAAAGGAAGGAAGAATCAGAGAGAGCTTCCCAGGACCACACCCCCACAAAACCCATCATACTTACTCTCACTCCAGAAGCTCCAGGGGGGCCAGGATCACCCTTGGGTCCTTGAGGACCTTCTGGTCCAGGCGCTCCCTGTGACAGAAACAGGCTTGCTGAGGGACCAGCCCCCGAGTGCCTAGGCATGCTTGATCCAGGTCCTGCCTCAAGAGGCACTGGAATCCTTCCTAGACTTGTAGCTTTACTCCACCCACAGGCCCTGGTACCTTTTCTCTGGGTCCAGGTCCTGCATCCACCTATGGGATAATGATTTGTGAGAATACTTTAGAGAGAACTGGGGCTGGTGGGAGGAAATGGGTCAATGAGGGGCTATGAGGATCAATGGGGCTTTCAGGGGACCAAGGGGGAGGTGGATGGGATGAGAGGACACAGTGTGGTGTCAACAGAGGCAGAGAACAAGACCCAGCTCAACACTTACTAGTCGTCCAGGAAGACCTGGGGGGCCCTGGGAAAGGAAACCAATAGTCAATGGGAGCCCTAAGGTTATACGGCAGAGTTGTTCAGGGTTGCCCCAGGTTCAACTATGACCCCAAATTCCCCATAACACCCCAATGCCAACTCCTAGAAGGCAGCCAGCCAGGCCTGAGAGTGGTCATTGGTGCCCCCCTCCAACCTCCAAGCCACTTTGCATGGATAATGGCCACTGATGGCAGCAACACCAGGGAAATCTCCATCCCACCCAAACGTAGGACCAACACCACTCACCGGCTCTCCACGGTCACCCTTGGGTCCAGATGGTCCAGGGCTGCCCTGCGGAAAGCCAGAGGTCAGGGTCACTCAGGGCAGACAGCAGGTAGGGAGAGATTTAGAAGTACCAGGAGGACTTAGAGGGTCCCGCTGGCCTTTGGAGAGTTCTGACAAAAAGGTCAAAGGAAGTGAGGACTGTGAGGGTGAGAGCACTGCAGGGTCAGGGTAGGGACTGGTTGGTTAAGGAGCTGAAGCTGAGGTCAAGGGTAAGTGGTCAAAGATCGGGACTCACATTTCGTCCATCCTCTCCAGGATCTCCCTGGTCTCCCTTTTCACCCACAGGTCCCCGGGCTCCAGGTGGCCCCTGAGGAAAACAGCTAGTCAAAGACAGATTCTTCCAGCATTCTTCAGGTTCTCCCATAGGTCTCTATATTGCCTATAATCCCCATCACCCCAAAATCCATACCAGAGTTTCCCATGCCTCCCCGTGGATTCTCTCACCTCTTACCCCTCCCAGAACTTCTTACCACCTTCATATTTAAGCTTCTTCCTCCCCTTTACTTGACCCCTAATGTCCCCCTGTCAAGACTCACCCGAAGGCCACGCTCGCCTGCTTTTCCAGGCAAACCTGGGTCACCCTGGTGATGGAGACAAAGGTCACTTTGAGCAGGTAGATTAGGATCTAACTGATTCACTAAGCCAGGGAAGAGAGGACCTAGACACTGGCTGGACAGGAGGCAGGGGATGGACAGGATGATCTGCACCACCCCCAGGTCTTTGGGATCACAGTTCAAGGGTAAAGGATCAGAAATTACAATGGGGAGGAGTCTCACCGGGGGACCCTCGTCACCTTTCTCTCCAGCTTCACCCTGTGAGACATGAGAGTCAGTCTAGGTCCCAAGACCCCAGTGTTACAAGCAACACTCTACTCCCTATTCCCTATGACTCCCCCAAATCCAGCTTCTCACATCTCGTCCTCGGGGGCCAACAGGTCCTATAGGGCCAGGTCGCCCAGGATCGCCCTTCTCTCCAGGAGGCCCTGAGTCACCCTGGTCAGAGAGACAAGAGGGAGGTAATGTTCAGAACCCAGACAACAGGCAGCCTGTGAGAGGAGGTAACCCCAGAAACCTTGGAGTCACCCAAGGTTTCAGATACTCACTGTGGGTCCTTCTCTGCCAGTGAGGCCAATAGGACCCTAAGAGGATAAGGAGGACAGAATTTAGTCAAGCTTCCAGGTACCACCTCTTCCCCCACCATCTGTCACATACCCCCATCCCCACATTTATTCACCCGGTCTCCAGGGTCTCCTTTGGGACCAGGGTCTCCAGGAAGAACCAACCCAGGTCGGCCCTATGGATGGAAGGATCAGAATTCAGGAGAGGATAACCTCCATCTGTTCCTATGCTCTAAAGACTTTGCTCTTGCTTACCTGTTCCCCTTTTATTCCAGCAGCTCCTCTAGGCCCAGGGGGCCCAGCATCTCCCTGAAGGTGACAAGGATCATTAGTGCTAATCCCAGGTTCTAGGTAACCCCACAACCCAGCAATCAGGCTACAAGCCTTATGATCTCTAGGTAGATTCAGAGATAGACCTTGTGACCCTGACCTCATCCTGTAACAGCCTCCCCTCCCTAAACAGATGTACCTTTTCTCCTTTGGCTCCAGCACCATCAGGACCCTGAAAACAAGAGAGACATAGCTTAACCCCTCCTGGGGATCATAGGATGGACCAGTCTTCATTGGGATGGGGGTTATACAGAACTGGAAGTCACAGAGCTCAGCCTCTGACTCAAGGTCTCAGGCTCACCAATAGGGTTGTACAAAATGGGCTGTCACAAAGTTTGTGTCTCACAGAATGGCTATAGGATCATAGCCAGAGTCTTTCTAGAGGCAGAAAATGCACAAGGAGAATCACAAAGCTCTGAGCCTATCCAGGGTCACAGAATCGTGGAGTCACAACCCAGAGCAGTAGTTTACATGTCACTACACCAGAGCTGTGCTGGGCTCAGTGTCCCTTACTCACCACTGCAGGCTCCCCAGGGCGACCAGGCTCTCCCTATGTAGAGAGGATAGGGACAGAGAGACAGGTCAGAGGCTCACCTAGAAAACTAAAGTCCCAGTGTCCCATAGCTAAATTCTTGCTGTTAGAAAGTATGGCATAAAGCCTACAACTTACCTTCTCTCCTCGGCGGCCAGTGGGTCCTGGTGGCCCCTGTTTATGGAGAAAGCATGAGCTTAAGAAGGGAGCAGGCCAAGAGTGACACAGAAAAGTCCCACTCCTGACCCCACCATAGTCACATGCTTACCTCAGGACCCTCCACTCCAGGATGTCCAGCAACCCCAGGGAGGCCCTGGGGAAGAGGAACAGAGATGCTGCTCTAGATGGGTGGGGACAGGGGAGTTATGGACAAACAGGGGTAAAGGTAGGAGTTGAACTAAGAATCATGTGAGGATGGGCAGAAAGGTAGGGGTAGCAGGGGTCAAGTACAAGAAGTCAAAACCAGAAGGGAACATAGAGTCCACTTGTCAGCTGGCAATGACACCAAGATCAAAGGGCTTACCTGGGGTCCCACTGGACCAGGCAGTCCCCGTTCACCCTGACAGAACAGAACCAGTCAGAGCTAAGTCTAGCCCCAGATCCTCCCAACCCCCCTCCCCAGGTTGCACATACTTTTTCTCCAGTCTCACCCGGGGTCCCTGTCAGTCCCCGGGCACCCTACGGAGACAGAAAATAAGAAAGGGGATTTGAGCAATGAACCACAAATAAGGTGTATCAATCTCCAACTACTCCCTCTGAAACCAAAGTCTTTGGCCTCAACAGACCCATATCTCCTAACCTTCCAGCCTCTGTAATACTTGGGGTGGGATTCTCAGAGTATAATACCTTACATCTGACACCTCCCACAACTGGCACTTACTTTGGGTCCAATAACTCCAGGAATTCCCCGAAGGCCCTGGAAAAGGATGAATTGGAAGTTCAGAGATTTCTATTTGAGCATAAGGATAGACAAGGAATTGATGGTGGAAGGTAAACGCTAAAGCCAACTCACCGGCTCACCTGGGGCTCCAGGTTGTCCTGGGAGGCCTGGGGCTCCATCCTCACAGTCACCCTGAAGGAGAAATAAATGACAAAAAGACCCAGGGGAGCCCCTGCTGATCTCTGGGCCTCCTCCTCAGAACTGGGACACTGATCGGTCAGGTTCCTACCTTCTCTCCCTTCACTCCAGAGGGGCCAACTGGGCCTTGGGGTCCAGGGTTTCCAGGTAGTCCCTAGGGGGAAGTAAGCAAAATGTGAGCCAAGAACCAGGAAGCCCAGCACTCAACCACTGCTTCAGCAGAGCCCTGAGTCTCTGGCAGCTTCCCCAGCAGAACCTCAAGGCTCTCTCACCGGAAGCCCAGGCTCGCCTTGTCCAGTGCCACCAATACCTGGTCCAGGGGGACCCTGGGAAAGGATAGTAAGTCAGGGAGTAGCCAGGAGACTCCAAATCCAAGTCATCCCCAGCGTATCAGGCCCCTCACTTACCCGTTCCCCACGATCACCTTTGTCACCCTGGAAGACAGATCATGACCCTTTGACTCTTGACCATACCTTCATCCCCAAGATCCAAGGGTGTATGAGAGTCATTGGGTCAAACTGGATTATAAAGATTATGGAGAACTAAGGGTTGGGAGTCAAAAGGTCAAAGCAATCAGTAAGGGTTATATGGTTTCCAGCAGGGTCACTAGGTCTCTGAATCACACAGAATTCATAAAACTATTTGGGGATCATATTATCACCTTCAAAGACGTTCCAGGAAGCCCTGGGGGACCACGTGGTCCTGGGTCTCCCAAAGGCCCACGAGGTCCAGGGGGTCCCTGAAAGAGGAGACAAAGCATAAGTTGCTTTGGACTTCAAGCACAGATGTCACTGTCACCTCCCAACTAGTCCTCCCCTGGCCCACATTACTTTTATCCACATACCCTGGGACTTACCAAAGGTCCAGGGTCCCCTTTCTTTCCAGGAAGCCCTGGTCCCTCACCTCTAATGACTTGCCCAGGTTCCCCCTGTGGGGGCAGAGACCAGTGGGCAAGTTTCAGGGTAGGGGAGGTAGAAGCTTCTAGAGGTATCCCAGCAATTCCTTTGCATGCTTCAGGCATGAACAGAATCAGGCCTGAGGCACCCTTCCTCCTCCCTAGGACACCCCGGCTCGCTCTCCCTTTCACCTACCGGCTCACCCTTTGGGCCTTGAGGACCTTGCTCTCCCTGAAGATAAAGCAGAGTAGAGGCTCAGATAAGTCTCAGGCTGCCTCCTGCTTCAGGCTCTCTAAGAACCTTAGAAGGCACTGTGAAAACAAG